TCTCATGGTCCGTGAGTTCGAGCCCCACGTAGGGCTCTGTGCTGACAGCTCAGAACTTGGATCCTGCTTCAAATTCTGTGTTTCCCTCTCTCTCTGCCCCTTCTCTTCTCATGCTGTGTGTCTCTCTCTCTCAAAAATAAACATTTTTTTAAAAACTAACCTTAATAGAGCCCTTACTATGTATTAAACACTATTCTGACAATTGTACATCTATCATCTTGTTTCATACTCAAAACAACCCAAAGAGGTAGGAACTATTATCACCCCATTTTATAGGTAGAGAAATTGAGCTCCGTTATAAGCATTTTACATGTCTTAAGCTCAGATTGATCTGCACAGTTGTGAACTAGAGGTTAGTGAGCCAAGGAGGCAGGTGCCATACTTCACGTGCCATCCACCATGTACCATCCACCACACACTCTGGGTCCAGTAGTCCCCCCTTATCTGTGGTTGCAGTCACCCATGGTTGACCATAGTTCAGAAGCAGATGATTCTCTTTCTGACCTATTGTGAGAAGGTTAATAGTAGACTAACACTATGTCACAGTGCCTGCATATTCCCCTCACTTCATCTCATCATGCAGGCATTTTGTCATCTCACATCATCACAAGAAGGGTGAGTACAGTACAATAAGGTATTTTGAGAGAAAGAACACATTCAGTTAACTTTTATTACATCATATTATTATAATTATTCTATTTTAATAATAGTTATTATTGTTAATCTCTTACTGTGCTTATTTTATAAACTTTCCCTTAGTTATGTATAGGAAAACACATAGTTTATGTGGAAATTGGTATTATCCACAGTTTCAGGCATCCACTGGGGGTTCTGGAACATATCCCTCACAGATAAGGGTGGGGACGCTACGTACTTTTATTCCCAGAAACAGTAGGGGCCACATCAGGTAGTGACAAAGTGACAGCCAAGTGTCTTCAAGGCAAGAACAACTTCTCTACATGACCAGTCTGTGGAGTCACTTTGGGTGTGGCTCTTGGCTAAGAGGCTTCCAGACTGTTTTCTTGCCCTCCTAGAGAATCTATAAGCTGTTGATATTGTCTACCAATTTATTTCCAGCTAGAATTGTATTCTGTTGTTGTGGCTGAGATCACTGGCTGACATAAAATATGAAGTGCTTGGTATGCCACATGTCAGTTTTCTCTTCTCTGCAGATCTGCATTGTGCATTAAGCCTTTAAATGTTGTTTCTTAATGTACCTTATTAAGAATTACACATGGGGCACCTAGATGGTTCATCGGTTAAGCATCCAACTCTTGGTTTTGGCTCAGGTCATATTCTCACAGTTCATGGGTTCAAGCCCCATGTCAGACTCCATACTCTACAGTGTGGAGCCTGCTTGGGATTTCTCTCCCTCCCTCTCTCTCTGCCCCTCTCTCACTTATGCACTCTCTCTCTCTAAAATAAATAAACAAAAAATTAAGAAAAAAAGAAGTTGAGAAACAAATTCAACATTAAAAAAAAAGAATCACACATTGTGCTATGTCATCACATTAAACTTCTGGGAGGTCTTAGGTGGGTTTTCTTCATAGAGAACAAAAGTTTGTCATCATATGATTCTCAAAGCTGAGATCCTTACTGGAAAGCAAACAGCACTATTATTTCCTTGATGTCTCAAAGGATAAAGAGAGGTGAATGAAGATTTTCGGCTTTTCAACAGACTGTAAGTTTAGACTCTGCTGGGTATCGATTCCTACCTTGCTCACCCATGAGACACACTCAGGATGATGATACATCCTGTTTCCAACTGCCCAATTCCCCCAATTTGGGTTGGGGTTCGTGAGAGAACTGATGTCTTTGGCAGTGCATCCCCAGCTTACTTAAGTCTTTTTTTTTTTGAAGTTTTCACTTTATTTTTTTAATATTTATTTATTTTTGAAAGCAAGAGAATGAGAGTTGGGGAGGGGCAGACAGAGAGGGGGATCTGAAGCGAGCTCTGTGCTGACAGCAGAGAGCCCAAAGCAGGGCTTGAATCATGAACCTTGAGATCATGACCTAAGCGTATCTGACTGAGCCACCCAGCAATCCCCTTAATTCTCTTTTCAAGCCCAGAGGTGACTGTGGCTTTTTTCCTAGTTTTATTGAGGTATGATTGACAAAAAATGTATGTATTTGAGGCATATATGTGATGTTTTGATAAATGTATTCACTGTGAAACAATTACCACAATTAATTAATATTCCATCACCTCACATTGTGTGTGTGTGTGTTTGTGTGTGTGTGTGTGTGTGTGATGTGAATACTTGAGATCTACTCTCAGCAAATTTCAACTACAGAATACAGTATTATTAATACAGTCATCATGCTATACATTAGGTCTTCAAAACATATTCCTCCTGCAACTAAAAGACCAGCTTTGTCTCTCTTTTTTCCCCACCCCCAGCCCCGGGCAACCACCACTCCATTCTCTGTTGCTAGGAGTCTGACTTTTTAATTTAATTTAATTGTTTAAATGTTTTGTTTATTTTTGAGAGAGAGAGCAAGCAGGGGAGGGGCAGAGAGAGAGGGGAACAGAAGATTCAAAGCAGGCTCTGTGCTGACAGCAGCAAGCTAGTTGTGGGGCTCAAACTCACAAACTGTGAGATCATGACCTGAGCCAAAGTTAGATGCTCACCCAGCTGAGTCACCCAGGCACCCCAGGGGTCTGACAATTTTAGATTCCACGTATATATCAGATCTTCTGGTATTTGTGGAAATAACTTTTTAAAACAATTACTCCACAAAGTTTTGTATTATTCTTTTATTGTTTGTGTAATTAATTTATGTCTATTATAAGTATATTTGAACCTGAGATTTACAGAATTTATGAACTTGCCCAATGGGTCACTGTTACTTCTGTGGTTTTCACAACCTTGTGCTACTTGCACTTCGATCAGAGGATGAATGATTTTGTGTATCTATGTGAATAAAGTTCAAGGTAAATGCTCTGTCAGGGACCAGTTCAAAGCCTTCTGTGCTTTGAGAGTGAGAGCTGAGGGCCAGTTAATCACCACCTCTCAGAGCAGCATACCCAGCTACTGCGTTCCTGGTAAATTGTTTAAAAAATATACATGTTGGGGCACCTGGGTGGCTCAGTCGGTTAAGCGTCTAACTTCGGCTCAGGTCATGATCTCACAGTTCGTGGGTTCAAGCCCCACATTGGGCTCTGTGCTGACAGCTAGCTCAGAGCCTGGAGCCTGCTTCAGATTCTGTGTCTCCCTCTCTCTCTGACCCTCCTCTGCTCACACTGTCTCTCTCTCTCTCTCTCTCTCAGAAATAAATAAAACATAAAAAAGAATTTAAAAAATATATATGTTAAAAATGACAACTCTTAGTAGTATAAAAAATAATCTGCTTCATTATTTTAAAAAAAGATGTGCGAAAATGGCTGCATATTTTAACACTGCATTCACATAATGCCTTTTAAAGTTATAGCATACTCTAGGCTTACTTTAACAATTCACTTTATACAGTTTTAATTTGCAATACATAACATTCATCCTTGACTTAAAAAAAAACAACAACACCCTCTGTGTAGCATGGATTCTACCTGAAAAACTCAAATGACAGTCTTAAGAGTTGTTTTAAGAAGAAATGGAATACCAGGAAGTAAATCAATGGTGTTCCTTCTGGGTCATTTGTATCAGGGAGTATGCAGACATGAGCTGAGTGTGTTTATGGGTCTGTATATTCTTTCAAGTATTTAACCTAAAATTTCAGTGCTGTTTTTAGAAGTGTGTCTCAAATATTATAAGGTCAAAAACTACTACAGAAGAAAAGTAGTGAGCCCTCTGGTGTGAGAAAAGGGAACTTGGGTCCTGGGTCACAGCTTTTGGGTTAAACATGATGGTGGGTACAAGTTGGGATGGTAAGAGCATATTCTAGAGCAAACACAAATAGAGTGCGGAGATGAGTAAAGAGTAAAGACAGTGTGCTGAAAAATCAATGATCCATCTTAAGCTTCTATCTTGAGAACCTGAATAAAGCGGGAGACCTGGGGGGCTCAGTCAGTTAAGCATCTGACTTTAGCTCGGGTCATGATCTCATGGTTCAGGAGTTCAAGCTCTGCGACAGGGTCTGTGCTGACAGCTTGGAGCATGCTTAGTATTCACTCTCTCCCTCTCTCTCTCTCTGCCCCTCTCCTGTTCTCTCTTGCTTTCTCTCTCTCTAAAATAAATAAATAAACATTAAATAAAAAGAAGCTAAATAAAGAAGCCCAAAGAAATTAGAAAGAACTTTTATATCTCTAATAATAGAGAAGAATGAAAAACAATTAAATAGAGATGGAAAACAAAGCTAAAGGTTAGTTCTTTGAAAGAGAAATAAAAGTCATAAATCCCCAAGCAAGACTAATATGGAAAAAAGGGACAACAAATTGCCAGTATCTGGAAAAAAAATATTGTTAATTGCCTATTATATATGTAAGATACTGAGCATGAGGAGGAGGAGGAGGAGAAAGAGGGGGAAAAATGTATTTGTTGTGAAGCCATACAAAAAAAGTCATAGTTAAGATTCTACTATATTCAATTTAATCTAACATGCATTTATTAGAAAAGAGCATAAGGCATGTCTTTGTAGGCCTAGAAAGAAACATATATTGTAGAGTCCAACAGAGCTGAGATGAAATCCAACCTCTACCTTGAACTAAATGTGTGACTTTAGGCTATTATATAACCTCTCTGAACTTCCATTTCCAATCTACCACATGGGAGATGATAATACCGACCTCATACGGCTGTTGGAAGAGTGGTAAATCACGGGGGAGGCTTATATCCTTTCCCCAACATGACCCATAACCATGGCATTTATACTTTATCGCTATAAAGGATCCTGAGACAATGTCATTCATTCAGAAATGCATCATTTCTGAGAAGTGTGAGCATTTTCCTTCCCATAATTACCTGTCCCAGTAAGAGAGGTTTGGGATGGTCACCTTCAAAAGAAAGGACACTACCAACATATAATCAACATCAAAGCACATATGAAAATTAAAATGAAATAACTTTATATAAAATTTTCATTTTAATTTTATACATAATTTTGTCATGAGTATTAGGAAATCAAAGCAAAAACTATTCCAATAACATAAGTTATTTTAAAGCACTGAGGTAAAGGCTCCCAGTTCTAGTGTCAGCATCATGACAGAAGATTCCCCGCCCCCCCCCCCCCAAGTCCTCAGCTTCCCAGCAGTAGCGTGTCTCCTGAGTCACCCAGGCTGATGCATACCACAAGGCTCAAAGATCTTAAACGACCATGCTGATTGGCTCATATCTTAGATCTGCAAGATGAATGCTCAGGATATTTCACACACTGAAGAAGCCTGACAGGCCTATGACAAGAGAGAGGGAGAAAAAACAAAAAGGAGATCAAGAGGCGGTAGAATATATCTATGGTTTAATTCCCCAGTGCAAATAGCTTCTTCATTAGCAACAAAAGAATGCATGGACCAAACAATTTCAGCATCTCCAAACAATTTCCTCCCCTGCAGTGACAACACAGAGAAAGGTCAAGTCCAGGAGTGAACAACCTAAAGTGTGGCCCAATTTGGTTTCATTTCACTTGTGAAGCCATAGAAATAAATACTGAGAAGATATGCTTGATGATAATGTGTGGCGATGAAAACAAATGTCTGGCTCTAACGTGTCACAGGTTTGGGCTATGAATGTCAGGTGATGATGAGAAACAGCAGAGGTAGCAGCCTGAGATGAGGGACCTCCAATATTTTCTGTTTATTTGCTTTCTTCTCTTCAGAAGCTTCCTGAGAGAGGATTGAGCCACAGGGTCAGAGATGGAGAGAGGGTAAAGACTCTTTGGAGGAAGGCTGATGGCCATCAGCAAGGAGACCACACACCCTTTGCACAGAACAAATCTTAAATAAGAATCCAGCCAGTGAAGGACTCTCAGTTTCATGAAAATGGAATAACAAAGCAATAGGGTCCAGTGGGAGTAGGCTGGCCTATGGAGAAAGGTAGATAGTGAGAAATGTAGTTCATTAAACTGTAGCTGACCCTGATTTTGTTAAATGTGAGTCAAGCAAGAGAGATCATTAGAAGCAGCAACTAGTACCCCTAGGCTTCTGGGATGGTCCATCTCAGGCTTGTCTCTAGCCAACTATCATGACCAGCTGGGAACAGTGACTCCAAGTGTAGATTCATTCCATCCTCACCAAAATGCTAACCTGGAATCCTCCATGTGAAAACATTCTGGGGAAAAAATCTCCTCTTCCTTAAGGAGATACTTCTATGGAAAATAAATCCTTCTGAGACCATTTAGCAATTCTGAAGTCACCATTGCTTTATACTAAATGAGGAGAACAGGAATATGTTCCTTAATTAGTTTTTAATTTGGGAAAACTCAGATTTGGAAAAGAAGTAGCAATTATGCTGTTAAGATGATCTCTCTCCATCCAGCGTTCCAATAAAATGGACACACTTTGGATATGTTGGACAACATGTTGATGGATAGAGACAGTATACTTTGAAGTAACATAAAGAAAGAAGTGCACCCTTCAGGTTGTTAAAAAAAAATTTGCCACAAGGGGGCACTAACCAGAAAAACATGCTGACATTTTTACCATAATCCAAAAAAGTACTGTTAACCTTCTGTTCATTCCACTGGCTAAAACATATGAGAAGAAATTCTGTACATATTTCATCAGGACTGTGAGTGTGTGCATGCAGAAAAAAAGGAAAATGATGTGAAGGGCATACAGCTAATGGTAATAGCATTTGTCTCTGAGTGAGCTTTCTAAAGGGATAACAGCAAAATCCAAAAGAAGTCTAATCTATATAAATGTTTTCACACTTCTGTTTGCCTATTAAACAATCACACCAAAACAGCTGGACAAAAGTTGGCTAGACTGGAAGGTACGTCTGGCATGGAGTGATTTCAACTTCAGTACATGTCTATATCCATGACATTCACTTTAGGCTTCCGTGGGGACAAGCAGCTTTCTTGAAAAGCCACAGAACTCTTACCATGCAACAAGGGGCCCTGGGGAGCTGGTAATTTAAAGAATCATGCTGAGTATATTACAACCTTATGGTTGGAGAAAGGACCAGTGATTTCAAATATGATCCGCCAGTTTAAGGTCACATGAGCTGATGCTCAGCATGACAGGTGTTGGCTTACAAATCACTTCCTTTGATGTGGGCCACTTCGATATGGGCCAAGTCCAGATGGAAGGTAGGTTTTTACCTCATCCCAGGTAGAGAACGAGTGAGCTCACCTGGAGCCGGCAGTATGTACGAATGCGGCTGACTGATGGCCATCAATGAAAGAAAGGGGAATAATTAAAATGAAGGGGGTGGGAAAGGATGTTGAGCACAGTTGAGGACGAGACCCGTGTACATTCCCCAATCTTCTCCTAGGTTTTTAGTGTTCAGTTTCCCAACGCAACATTTCTTTGAGTAACTTAGGTGGGTCAGATGTCTGCAATGTTTCTTCTACAGCTGTTCTTGCCTCTTTGTTCTGATGGTCTTCCCATCTAACTGCAGTGGAAATTTTGTGTTCTTTTCAGGCAGTTTTCAGAGAGCAAGCAGCTGACTGAGGCGGAATCCAGGTCATTTTGAGACAAAAGCCCTCAGTGAATGTTCTTGGAATCTGTCCTTCTGCCTTTCTGCTAGGGTTGGTGGGAGAAGGTGGTGACAGAAGGAGACAGGAAAAGGATTCTCGAATTCCAGCTTCTGTGTTCTCTGAGGAACTTTTGCTCTCTGCATCAGTAATTTAAGTTAAAGTAATTTAAGCCATCACTTATGGGAAAATCTCTAGATTTTCTAGATGCTTCTAGAAGGAGTCCCTGCCACAACTACTCACAAATGAGTGAGGGTCCTGGTTTAGGTAACAGAGCTGCTGATGACTTTAAAAATATATACCTATCTGTAATATTAAACTTTTCCCTAATAACACATATTACTGGTAAAAAAAAAAATAAGATTTTACACTTTCTAATTTATGGAAGATAAACTTTGGTAGACTTCCATGTGGCAACTTACCAAGCATCAGGCATCTATGCTGAGATCCAACTAAAGAAACTTCACATGCAAAATATTGCCTTGTCACAAAGATTTTACAAAAACTTTGCATTTGACAAAACGTGTTTTTGTATCCCTGCAAGCCAGCAGGTTTACACTTCTGGGCCAGGCCTCTCACGTGGGAAACCAGGAAATATGTTCTCCAAAGCTAGGTCAGCTGCAGAGGCAAGTGAGTGATTGGGGGCAGATAGAGAAGAGACGAAGAGGAAGATGGGGGAAAGGTGGCCAATCACTGGATGGAAACACTTTGTAGGCTGGGCCAGGGGTCAGGGAGCAATCACCATGGGTCCCCATCCCAGATCACCACCAAGGCCCAAAAGGGATTCCGGTGGCCCTCCTGGCTCAGAGGAGGCAAAGGAAAGGGGGAAAAATGCCTACAGATGGTAAGACAGCCATTTCTTTTTCCAAGAAGTCTATTACCTGTAGTTATTCTGGCAGGTAAATGTAATATTCCTTTTGCTTAGAATCAATTTCAGATCTTTTATGGAAGAATCCAAACATGAGTCACTGGGAACAAAAGAAAAAAAAGAGTTAAATGACAAGGTCTTGCAAACATTTCCTGAGTCTCAGTTTCTTCTAGGTAGCAAGCCCTGGACAGGCTCTGGGAAAAGTGAAGCAGAAGTTGCTTTTAAAAGCTCACAGGTCAGCACGGGAGCCGAAGGTGTGAACTGCATAGATACTTATTGTGGAGATGTAACTGAGAGGTTGTCGGGATGGGCCGAATGTTGAGCCCATCATTTCCTGAGCCAACCTGTTCTCAATGCATTCTTGTGACTGTGGCTTTTTCCCTGGACCGACTCCTAAAATAACCCTGAGAATATATACGCACAAAGAAGTAACATATACCTGGAAGTATTCGTGATGTCCTGCATCACCCAGGCCTGCAATGTATGAACCTTCTCTGGATGCAAATTAAGGACTTCCACACGTCCAAAAGTGCTAAGAAGAGGCAGAGAACATTGTTAACCCCAAATGGATTCGTTCAGCCAACAATGTGTCTCATCAAAAGCCGACAGGCAGGGAACCACTGGTTAGAACCTGCCCTGTGGGATTGATTCATGATTTGTACTAGAAATGACCATTTTCATTCATTGTGGCCCTCACTGAATAGGACTCTCAAAATAAAAATTTTAATCGGTACATTGATGATGATTCTTTAAGTACTTGCTATTCAAAGAGGGGCCTCCCACCACCATTCTGAGCATCACCTGGGACCTAGTTAGACCTAAAGAATGTTAGTCCATCAGCACCTGCTGAATCAGAATCTGCAGCTGAACAATCCCCAGATGACCCACACTCAGTGAGGCTTAAGATGCACTGCTCTGAGAGTCCCTGGTGCCCCGCTCTGACCCCAGTCCTAAACTCCTCCCCACTGGCCTCAGACAGCTGCCATTCTTATTGTAAAAACTTGGACCTCAAATATCAGATTATAAAATCCTGGAATGTTGATGCTCTCACCCAAAAGCCTACAAGCTTGGGGTCAGAAGAAGACAATGGGGCAGGTGCCTGGGTAGGTCAGTCAGTTAAGTGTTCAACTCTTGATTTCAGCTTAGTTCATGATCTCATGGTTCGTGAGTTCAAGCCCCATGTCAGGCTCTGTGAAGACAGTATTGAGCATCCTTGGGATTCCCTCTCTCTCCTTCTCTCTCAACCCCTCCCCAGTTCACGCACGCATGCATGCTCTCTCTCAAAATAAATGAGTAAACTTTAAAAAAAACTCTAAAAAAAGACGAAAAGACAAATGCTTCTTTGCAGAATTCGATATCAAAACTGGAGAGAAGGAAACTTAATTTGAGTTACCCAGAGTACCTGGAGCACATCTGCCCCGCCTCTCAATCCAGCCTTATCTAGAGAAAGACTGGTGAATAAAGGCTGGAAAAGTAATAATGTGGTAAAAACTGTATAAGAAGAAGTCAGAGAGGGAAGGCATTGGTGTGGCTGGGTTCAGCGCTGTGGATTAAATGAGAGACTAACAGCTGATACTCACTGAGCTGTCTCTCTATTGTGAAATACAGAGCTCAGGACTTTTCATACGTTATTTCAGTTAATCTTCAAATCACCACCATCTCTGCAGGTGCATGCTACAGGGTCTCCCGGGGGTCACACGGGTAATATGGAAGACTAGAACCCCTATTTTTAACACTATAATAAATTATGGCAATGCCTATAAAGAGATAGTAAAGGGCCAAGAACCCAGCCCAGTAGTGGTTTAACTGCTCAACTATGGTGTCCACTCTTCACGAGAGACAGAGAAGTCAGGTCAAGTCTACATGGTTGGAGAGGATTAAACAGGTGGTAGCGGGGAAGAGGGCTGGGCATGGGGGAACCCCATGAACAAAGGTCTAAAATGGGAGAGCTCATAACATTGTACCAGGCCTCAAAAAGCCAAGAGGAGGAGCTGGACACAGTGCAAGGGCCATTAAGACATTTAGAGGATTTAATACATAGGACACACCAGACAAAAACATTGACTTAGACAAATATCTCCATAGAAAACAAACATTTTACCTTTTTAGCCCAAATCTTCAGTACTGACTTAACCATGAAAAGCATATTCTTCTAGGGATGAAATATTTAATAGGAGGCTGCGCTAACACTTGCAAATAGGATGCAAAGAAAGTAATACCTTTTTTCATCAAAAATCTTACGGATGGACCCATTGAGCAACACATGGACCACACCACAGGCATCTCCTGCAAACTTAAAAGAGAAAAAAGAAGAAGCTGGCCATTCCTCAGAATGTATTTTTAATTGCCACACTCCAGCAGCTCCTTCCAAAATAACTCTTGGCTTTAGCTGGTTAAGGAGGGAGTAGCCTCTGTGTGTCTAGCTCAGTAATGCCAGGTGGATGTAATTTTCATCCCAAGCCATTGGTAGGATTCTGCTTCAGATGAGAATTCTGGAAGCAGTTGCTCCAACCTGTGTTTGAACAATAAAAGTCAACATCATTGTCCACAGCATTGCTAAATTGATGGTTCAGAAGTTGGAAGTCCAGGGAGTAAGAGAAACATTGCTGGAGGAGGAAGACAAAAGCACTTTCTTGGTGCCATGCACTGTAGATGCAGCACATTTCCCTTAGTGAGAGCAGAGTGGACAATTCAGGGGCAAAGGAAAAGGGGACACAAAGAAAGAGGAAACTGAGGAAAGAAAGTATCACAGGACTGCATAGGCACCGTGGGAAATAGGGAATGAATGAATGAATATATCATTGAGCAGGGAGTTATTTCTTCATGCAATAAACGGTTCAGCTGGAATTTTTGCTAGGTGCTGGAAAAACAAAATGAATGAGGCCAAACAGTCTACACGTTCCCTCCAAGAAGCACCGCCCCCCCCCCCCCCCCCAGCCCCTGGGACCAGCTCAGGTCCACTCCTGCCTGATTCTGTACCAATGAGCCCATTGTGGATTCAGTCACCAGTACTGAACATTCTTTGAGAGCTGTGAGCCTGGCTGTCCAACCTGTCACCACAGCCCTGGAGCCTTGGAGCTAGTGCATGGCACAAAGTAGGAGCCCAGAGAAAATCAGTGGAAGGAAAAGAGGGAGTGAGGGTGGGAGGGAAAGACAAGCAGGAAGTCCAAATACTCAGTGATGGAGATTAGATGTTTGAGAAAACAGTAGTTTGTGGAAACCCTCAACAAACTGGGTATAAAAGTGAGTTCAGAGCACCATGAATGGTTGGACAAGGAATCTGGCGTTTATTCTGCAGGTGATAAAACACCACTAAACAATCTGAAACCAAATTGTGAGAATCCAATGCCGCTTCTGTCTTTCTACTCGGGGTGATGAATAGAGGACAGAATCCCCATTACTACCAACCACAAGTGCTAAGTCAACAGAGTGCTTCTGGGGTGCCAAGCACTCAAGAGCTCCCATGAAATAAGCATTGGGTCAATTTGTCCCAAGGTCACATCACTTGGAAGCAATGAAGAGAAATGGGGATTCAAACCCCAAGCAGCTCTGCCTCTTTTGTCAGAAAAAGAAAGGATCTTGGCGCACCTGGGTGGCTCAGTCAGTGAAGCATCCATTTCAGTTCAGGTCATGATCTTGCAGTTCATGGGTTCACATCGGGCTCTGTGCTGACAGCTCAGAGCCTGGAGCCTGCTTCAGATTCTGTGTCTCCCTCTCTCTGCCCCTCCCCTGCTCACATTCTGTGTCTCTCTGTCTCTCAAAAATAAATAAACATTAAAAATTCAAAAAAAGAAAGAAGGAAAGGATCTTGTCTGATAAAATATGGTTGTCTATGCACATCTATGAACATTTGGCCAACATAAACCTCTGGCCCCAAGGAAGCTCATGATAGCAGGGCACCTTCGGTCACCTTCACCACTGTGCTCGCTCCTACGTCCAAGCAGGTGCTTGACACATAAGAAATATGACTTGGCTTTAAACACTGTTCAAAGGGGCGCCTGGGTGGCTCAATTGGTTGAGCATTCCAACTCTTGATTTCAGATCAGGTCATGATCCCAGAGTTGTGGGATCAAGCCCCATATTGGGCTCCACCCTCAGCATGGAGCCTGCTTAGGATTCTTCCTCTCTCAGGGGGCTCAGTTAAGCGACCAGCTCTTGATTTCAGCTCAGGTCACCATCTCATGGTTTGTGAGTTTGAGAACCACATCAGATTCCCCACTGCAGGCACAGAACCCACTTGGGATTCTTTGCTTCTTTTTCTTGTCTCTCTCTCTCTCTCTCTCTCTGACTCTCTCTCAAAAATAAATAAATAAACTTTTAAAAAGGATCCTTTCTCTCTCTCCCTCTGCCCTTCTCCCACTCATGCTCGCTCTCAAATTTAAAAATTAAAATTAAAAAACAATAAAAAATAAAAGTTGTTCACAATAGCACTGTCCCAAAACATATCAAAGAAGGAGAAAATAAATAGGAACTTTTCTCAGAAACAGCAATTAAACAAACATACAATAACAACAAACTATACAGTGCCTGTGTATTATTATACAGCACTTGGTAGTGTTAGTGAAGATAGTGGTATTTCATTTCAGCATGGCAACGACCCAATGGGGTGGGTATCATTCTTATTCCCATTTGACAATTGAGGAATCTGAAGGTCAGAACAGTTTAAAGAATATGTCCAAGTTTAAATGGTCTTCTTACTTCAAATTCCAGGCTATCCCTTCACCTCTATCATACCAGAGTTTACCTGAATATCCTTACACATGAGACTTTCGGCTCTACTACTTACTAGCCCGTTGACCTTGGATGGGTCATTTAACCTCTGAATCTTAGTGTCCTCACCTGAACATGGGGATTTGCACCTTCCCACAGCACCTACTGTGAGGATTACATGGGGAGACGCAGTCACAGCACCTGACCCAGGACTTGTCATAAATAGGCACTTAACAAATGTGAGTTTCACTTGCCCCAGCTCCTCAGATGTCTACACTCAATTCCAGAGAATTATAAGTAGTACAGGCTTACTTCTTCCCCTTTTCCTCTCCTTCAGTTCTTTCTTTCTTCCTTTCTTTCCCATTTTCCTTAGTTCACTTGCAAAGAAGCCACTTATAAAAAAAAATAAGTATGTACCAAGGCAGCTTACAGTGAAGTCAGAAATAGATAGCAGTGGAGGAGGGATGAGTCATTCCTAGCTTGGATTCTGGATTTGGAGTCAGACAATTTGGGATAAACTCCCAGATCTGCCACTTACTATGTATGTTTAGTAGACCAGCTTATTTACCTGAACTTCTGTTTTGTTATCTATAAAATGAGTATGATACTCATGTACCCGCTCCATAGGATTCTTCTGGGGATGAAAGCCTTTAACCCACATGAAGATGCCAGTACATGGTGCACAGTAAGTGGTCTGTAAGTTTGCTTATGCAGACTCTTTCAGGGATCTGAGATAGACCAATGCCTGGATCAGAGGATAGAACCACGCTGGAGGTTCCTGGCGGCCAAAGCCAAAACATGGAAGGGAGCAAGGATTCGTCAACTAGAGCCTATGGGCCCTCTATGAATGCCCTAAAATCATATGTGAAAATATTCTGATATGTGCTTTGGTACATTTTTTCTCAAGAAAGAATTCTAAACTTTTGTTCCTAAACAAGTCTGTGATCCAAAGAGAAATAAAACCAACCACTGACTGGATGGATGACCTCTTCAGTTCTTTGGTCTCCAAAATTCTAAAATTTCCTTTTCGGTACTTACCCTTTTGGACACAGTGCTCCAGAATACAGAAACAGAGTTGTTGCTACAGTCTTTCCTCCAGTCTGGACAAGATTGATAGTTTATTTCTAAAAGACATAGTTTATACAAAATAATTAAAGTAGGAAAGAAAGGGTATAATTAAAGTCCATTCTTCCCAGGCTGTTCAGTCACTGTGGAGCCATTTTCCAACAGCATCACTGCCAAGATGGAAGTCAGACAATGGACTCCTCTCGACCCAATTTAACTAAATGCCCCCTGAATCCCTTCCAAGTCCTCACCTTACCCTCCAAATCCCAGACAGGAACACAATGACCAGCTTTGAGTCATCATTCTGGGAAATTGCAGCTGAACTTCATCTGACAGAGACAAGCCCTCGTCCAGGAAAAACTGGCGCTAACACTGGGGCCTCAGAGGCCACTCTTTGCCAACTACCCCTCTGCTTTTTGCCAGCTCCCTTGCTGACAGCTTTCCTCCCCATTTTGATTCAGCCTCCACATTCCCAGGCTCAGAGAGCCCCCGAATCCATCTACACTCACTCTTCCCCATCGAGATTGGCTCAGGAGTTTGGGAGATATAGCAGATACGGAACACGAGCACATTGTTTCTGTGGTACTTCTCCCAAACGTATTTGCCTAATGCACCAGCATTTAAAAAAAATTTGGGGGGGGGGAGGGTACCTTGGTGGCTCAGTCAGTTAAGCATCTGACTTCGGCTCAGGTCATGATCTCACGGTTTGTGGGCTCAAGCCCTTCATCGGGCTCTGTGCTGACAGCTCAGAGCCTAGAGCCTGGAGCCTGCTTCAGATTCCGTCTCCCTCTCTCTCTCTCCTCCTCCCCCACTCATGCTCTGTTTCTCTCTGTCTCAATAAATAAACATTAAAAAATTATTTTTAAATTTTTGGAGGTATAATTGACAAATAATATTGTAAGATACTTATAAATTTTTTTAATGTTTATTCATTTTTGAGAGACAGAGTGTGAGTGGGGGAGGAGCAGAGAGAGAGGGAGACACAGAATCCAAAGCAGGCTCTAGGCTCTGAGCTGTCAGCACAGAGCCTGACCGGGGCGCAAACTCACAAACCATGAGATCATGACCTGAGCTGAAGTTGGATGCCTAACAAACTGAGCCACCCAGGCACTTCCTAAAATTATAAGATATTTAAAGTGTACAATGTGAGGATTTAATATACATAGAGACACTGTGTAAAGATTCCCCTATGTGGAGATAAGGTAACACATTCATCACCTCCTGTGTTTACCTTTGTGTGTGAGAGAACGTTTAACTTCTACTCTCAGCAAATTTCAATTAGATGATACATTGTTAGCAACTCCGGTTCTCCATGCTGTGCATTAGAACTTAAGACCTTATTCTTCTAATAACTGAAAGTCTGTGCCCTTTTACCAACCTCTCCCTCATCCCCCACCCCCTCCCAGCCCCTGGCTACCACTTTTCTCTCTGTTTCTAGGAGTTTGCCTTTTTTTTTTTTTTTTTTTTAGATTCCACATATAAATGATACCATGCAGCACTTGTCACATGTCTGGCTTATTTCCCTTTGCACAATGCCCTGAGATTTCTTTGTGTTGTTGCAAATGACGAGATTTTCTTCTTTAAAAAGAGAATGAGTAATATTCCATTTTGTGTGTATATGTGTATAGGTGTGTTCCTACTTTTTTTTTCTTTTAATCCATTGCCCTTGATGACACAAACATTAATTGAGACTTGGATCCTGAGGATAAAGAGATGAATCTGATAGAAGCCCTGCTTTCAGAGACTATGGGATCTAATATAATCAAGTAATCAGGGAAAGATCAACTTGGTTTGGAGGTGACATGCAGCACTGTTTGGGAAGGCTGATGTTGCACTAGGCTTTGAAGGATGAATAGGAGTCTTCAGATAGATAAGACAGAAGGGTGGTCCAGGCAGTGAGGACACATGCCAAGGCACAACAGGTTTAAATTAGCACCACAAGAATGGAAGGGATGAGGAGGGGAATGATAGATGATAAGGCATAAGAAAGAAAGAGCCCAGACCATGCTAAGGAATTTAGACTTTATACTAGATGCAAAAGTTAGGTTTTAGGTAAAAGATAGAAATAATCCCACTATGGTGGCCAGATGGAGGCCAACCTAGAGAAGTAAGGAGTGAGCTGTAAGAATCTTACTACAGTCCCACTGATCAAGCAGGGTGCCTTTGTGTGGCGGACTCAGGCAGTGAAAATGGTGATAGAAAAGGTAAATAGACTATGTTGGTGATTGATTGGATATGGGACAGGAGGGCAGAGTATGAGGTATGGGAATGAGGGCAGAATCTGCAGATATCTTACTTCAATTCTGAATTATCAAGCAGGTAGGGCAGATGCATGACAAGAGACCCTGGAACTTTCTTCTGTCCCAAAAGTCAGGCGTGTTTCCTCTGTGGTTATGTGTACAGCTGACCCTAGAGAAGCAGTGTCTTTCTACTTCCTCCTTGTGATGAGTTGAATTTTGTCCCCTCAAAAGATACATTAAAGTCTTAACCCTCAGTACCTGGGAATGTGACCTTATTTGGAAAAAGCGTCTTTACTGCTCTAATCAGTTAAGATGAGGTCATTAGTGTGGGCGGGTCCTAGGCCAATAGGAGTCTTATCCTTTTTTTAACATGTTAATTTCTCTTTTTTTAACATGTTAATTTCTTTTTGAGACAGAGACAGAGTGCAAGTGAGGGAGGGGCAGAGAGAGCAACACACACAGAACCCGAAGCAGGCTCTGGGCTCTGAGCTGTCAGCACAGAGCCTGACGTGAGGCTCAGGCTCGTGAACCTCGAGATCATGACCTGAGCCAAAGTCGACAAGAAGGGGCAGTATATGTGTGGGGGGCCTGTTTTTTAAAAACCGTCAAAAAACAATAAAAATAAGAATAAAACAATATAAATGGGGCATCTGGGTGACTCACTCGGTTAAGCATCTGATTTCCACTGTCATGATCTTGTGGTCCCATCTGTGAGTACAAGCCCTGCATTGGACTCTGTGCTGACAGCTCAGAGCCTGGAGCCTGCTTCAGATTCTGTGTCTCCCTCACTCTCTGCCCCTCCCTCATTTAAAAATAAACAACCATTTAAAAAAGAATAAAACAATATAAAGTAAAAATATCCACAGTATAAATAAAAAGAGAACGAAAAACAAAAAGTGGTGAAAACGGGCTCAATAGAGTTTTCTGAGTAGAAAGCACCTTCCCACAGTGAGGTGTTCTAGGTCTTTCTGATAAGGCAACTTCTGAAAAATGACAGCAGAGCCACATGCTGGCCTGAGACGCAGAGGAGCCCATCGATCTGTTGCCGTGGCCATTCCGTGGAACAAAGGCTGTGGCCTGGCTACCCCTCAGGCCTCAGCCTGCTCTGGCACTTTTTAGTCCTAAATAACGCCCTCATAGAAAACAAAGCACCTCCAAGTTCAGAGGAAGACTACCCTTGCTCTCAGAATGCGGGGAATCAGGGAGCAGAGATAGCCCCAAACTCTCAAGTCAGTTTTTTCCAGAACACTGAGTCGAGCTACAGAATGCTATTTTATGGGAGCTTGAATTGTCATTAAGTGTGTAGATGGCATCAGGGTAGGTACCTGCCCGTCCTTCTTCCACACTGATCCTCCAGGCCCCCTAGCAGAGCCCTGGGCTCCCTCGCCCTGCCCTCACTGGCTAATCCCAAACAGCCCAGACCCTCACCAGAAGAGCCTGAGTCTCCACACCATGTGAGGCCGTCCATCATGTAACCCAGCAGTGTGTTCTCCAGCGTGAACAGCCCCTGCTGGACCCAGGTGTATTCATGCACCAGATCCCTTGTTTTGCTCCAAAGGAGGGTCTACGGAAGAAACACACAACCTATGATTGAGAGCAATTCAGTAAGTAAAAAACAAAAACACAAGAAAAACAAAAAATCCACATCTTTTTAAATGAAAGAAAAATAGAAAATATAGGAGCACATGTACCCCAATGTTCATAGCAGCACTCTCCACAATAGCTAAAACATGGAAAGAGCCTAAGTGTCCATCAACAGATGAATGGATCAAGAAGATGTGGTTTATCTATACCATGGAATACTACATGGCAATGAGAAACAATGAAATCTGGCCATGTGTAGCAACATGGATGGACCTTGAGGCTGTTATGCTGAGCAAAATAAGTCAGGCAGAGAAGGACAAATACCATATGTTTGCACGTATAGGAGGATTAGGAGGAACTTAACTGAGGAACGAGGGGGAGAAGAAGGGGGGAAATGGGGGGGGAAAGGGAGAGAGGGAAAG